ATGTTTGGGAAAGTGTGCGTAAAGGTCCATCGAAGGAACGATTTAGAAATAAATTGGTTAGAAGAGTGAGAGTATGCGTGTATTGTGTGATTGCATATATGAGAGACAGAGAGGGAGAGAAAGATATATATATATAGTGATAGAGAGAGAGAGAGTAAAGAGCGTGAAGAACGAGTGACAGAGAAAGGGTGTTCATTAATTTTGCACATCGACATTTCGCAGGTCATTTGGCCGCCGATGATAGGCGGTGAAGGGTTAATGGCGGCGGTCGTGGTTGGCGGGGAGAAGGTGTGATAAACCAGCGGTTGGCGTTGTGTGGTGGGCCTGCACCGGTCCGATAAAACGCATTGACATCGACAGAACTTAACAAGGTTTTAAACGATGCCGCGGACTCGTTTATCTTCCACCATGTCACCGCGGTAGCTGAAAATATATAATATAAGACATTCACCAGCGGGTGTATATTGTAGTGCGGCGTATATGAGACGCGACCCTAATTTTCTTTTTTTCTTGTCACGTCTTTCTATGGAACTCATATCCTGCATCCGTCCCACTACCGCAACCCTCATCACATCCATGTACACTTGCACACCCATCGGCTCTACCGCCGTTATTCCGCAGAGTGTAGTCAAAACGATCGGTCTATAATATGCGCTTGCGCGATTCTATTATAATTCATATATATATATAGGAATAAGTATACTATGGCGACGGTGTTTTGAATTCCGCATCCGCAACAAACCATCCGTAAAATATGTAACCAGATCTATCCGGATCACGTTGTGGTTTGCGCACGTCTAATCTGCTGTTTGCATGAGCGCTGTTGTCGTATTACCCGGCTACCGATCGTGGTTTCGATTTTAATGATTTAACATTTTAACTAATTTGTATACTTACTTTAATATTACACTGTCGATAACTTTTGGTAAACAATTATCGTGTACGAAAATCTATCAATAATTGCGTGTTGAGACACCATAATATACAACTAACACTAGACACTCCGACAATCGTACATCCCTAACAACATCCTTATGCACCACGGCATTGAGTTAACATTTATATTATGGCACGATAAAATTACTCCATGAATAACTGTACCTGCACATTTTAATAATTAATAACATTGTATAGGCATAACATTTATTATTTAAAAACAAAAACAATTTTTGAAACACTTTACGCACAACACATTGCACGTAATATTATTATTTTTTTTATTTAATAATACATAGGCAGACGATATTGCTGAATAGTAGACAAAGAGTACAGAATACGTATAGCTGAATTATTATAAAACCATATAATTTGGTTCACAGGTTAAGAACAATGTATTTTAGTTAAGAAAAAAATTTAAATAGTTATTACAATAGTTTACAATGTAGTTAATAGCCCTAATTTAGGACAATATTATGTTTACAAGTGATTTTGTGAAATGCATATTTTGTACATAGCCATTAGTGAAATATCAATATTTTATTTTACTTAATAATTTGGGAAACACTTTTTATCGTTAAGCAATTTGAATAGAAATATAATATTATAGCTCCGTCAAATTGATAATAATAGCAAGCTACAATTCCTCTAAATAAATAAAAAAAAAAAAATGGTTAATAATCTAACAAATTTATTATATTATACTCAATTGTATATAAACATCTTTGGAATTTTTCTATTTTATCAATTAAGCTTACTTTCAGGGTTTCATAAAACTACACCAAATTCTAGGTCATAACGGACTAGAGTAAAATAAAGTATTTTTAGACACTCAGGATCCATGGAGCCACATGTACGTTTAATAAAACTTAAATTCCTAAACGCTTTTGCATATATGGTTTCAATTTAACAGTCGATGTTGGATTAGATGTAAATATTAATATTCTAATTTATTACATGCAAGAATACAAGCAACCGAGATAAATAACTTGAGAGATGTATTACAAATTATATACCTAAAGAGTATATAGTAATATCAGTAGTTGTAATGTATATATATATATATATATATACATTTTAAATCCACATATAATAACAAAAGTTTTGATACCAATCTTAACTTAATTCGATCTCAGGGTGATGTTAAGTCAAAATGTGTAGTCTTCCAATGTTTATCTTATGAAAGTTTAGCTTATTTCCCCTGTAGTGGTGGTAGTCGTATCTATGTTTGAGAGGCTCGTTTTTCGTTTCATTAGGAATATGGTAAATCCTCCGTATATCTTAAAACATCACAGTGATGATATTTTATTTAATCAAGTAATTGAGCTCAATTTATTTTCACCGCAATATTTAATGACTTTGCAGAATACAAATAAATGTTAAATCCGCATCAGTTATATGCATGTTTTTTTTTTTATATAATATAATATTACTGTATTTAATCAATTATACATTATTGTTTTAGATTTTGAGCGGAGCCATGAATGTATTGGTTGTATAATAAATATGATGTGTGTATATGTATATGTATTTGTGTGTGTTTTTGTCTCCTATCAGTGATAGTCATCTTTTAAATAGATATACATTTTTCAATCTTACATTATTTTAACAGAAAATTGTTTTAAGTTTGTACTTAAAAAGCTATTATAGCTATTTAAATATTTTGAAATTTAGAATTATTTAAGTTTTATATTTTTTCATGATGATATAGTCCCTCTTATTTATTATTAATTTTTTTTTTTTAAGGATGATGGTATTTTTAAAATATTTAGGCAAATTTTTAGTTATAAAATTTTAATTTCATTTATTTTTTTACATTTTTCAATTGTTGAATTGTAGGTACTTTGATATTAATATTGAAAAAAAAAAAAGTCAGAATTATTAAAAATTATATAAATATTTGTATAAACAATGGGATGCAATGTAGCATGCTTACCCCAGCTATTCATTAATAATGATTTTTTCAAGCTTCTGTTTTTCAAATGTTCACTTTATCTTTTTACTATAAATTATTTAATATATAATTTGTTTTAAATATTTTATACCTTATATAATATTTAAACTAGCAGTTTTTCATTTATGATTGTAAATAAATATATGTTTGAAAAAATTAAATGTAAAACACAAAAAAAAAATAAATAAAAATTATTTGAATATTTAAATATTTTATCTTTACAAAACTTTTTTTAGTGGTTTAAAAATTTCAAATACTAAATTTTGGATAATTAAATTATTAAAAAGAAAATGAGAGTATACTCAGCGAATCATCTAGTAAATTTATACAAAATTATTATAAATATTACATAGTACATATTTGCAATATTTTTGATATAAATTAAGCTCAATCTACTATTATTGTTATACATACAAATTATAAAATTCAATATAAATTACAATATCATAAAAAGAGATTAACACAACGTTTCTACTCAAATACGTTTTAAAAATACTATATGATTTATCATTCAAATCTAATTAGACACGTATAGTACAGTGACTTACTCAATAATGAATTCAACTTAAAATTTGCAATACACCTCAGCGATTTTCTGATATTTTCTATTTTAAAGACTTACTTACACGATTGATTTTCCAGAAAATTTTTATGACACTTATAGGTGACTTTTTTTCGAATAACGCACATTAAATAAAATTATCTTTTTGCGCTTGTGGCTTTGTTGTTGTATTACGTTGTTATTACATGACAACAACATCCGTATTCTCACTTCACCCGTGAGTTTGAAATAAAGGGCCAGATAATATCAAGTGTTTGTTTGTAGACGATTTATCTAAGTTCAATTGTCATAATGTTCTATACTAACGGAACTTAAAATTTTATTGAAATCATTAAAGACATATTATTTATAGTTTTAACTAGTTATACATTATATGAATTCTTTGGTAGTGAAAGTTATGAACCATAAAATATTGTTAAAAGTGTTATGTAGACGAAATTCCTCTAACTATATTAAATATATGCGTTTTAAACATAATATTTCTTGTTGAGTGATACAATTATGTACATAATTCAAATATTATAATAATTTGAAACTTTTTTACTATTTTTATAAAACGGCGTAATATATAGGCAATTTAAGTGCATACATTATAATATTATTATTACCACAAGTAATTTAATTATTTATAATAATAATGCTATAAAACATTAGTTTATTGGTATATAGGTACTATATAACATTAAATTAATTATAATTTTTATAAAATATAATACTATTTTGAGGAACAATGATTTTTAAAAACATATAATATTCTTTAATTGTATTTTATTTAAGAGTTATATTGACATATTAGTATATAAAAATATTATATCTACTCATAATTATCATTGATTATTGTAAACTATTGTTGGAATAGTTCAAATATATATTATTTTTGCATAAGTGATAAAGCTATAATATCATTTTTAATTCATTGAAAATAATATTAAAGTAACCATTTTTAATTAAATAAAAGTTTGTAAATTATGTTTAAATTTAAATGAATTAATTCAATTCATACATGAAGAAAAATGAAATGAAAACTTATAAACTTGCATAACTTTAAAATTATATAAAATAGCTTTAGAAGATCGTCAGTCAGAATTTCAATTTTTTTTTTATCCTTCTTCTTTTTATTATTATCATGGTATATATTTTTATTTTGGATACAGTTAGATTAAAAAGTAATATTGTGGGCTTGGATTTATATAAATCTCATTTCATTGAACGTTTCTAGAATTTACATTAAAAATAGACATACAATAACAATAATGTCAACTATATGTCAAAAAAAATTAGATATCATAACAATTTAATATTATTCATAGAACTTATATTTTAAACATGATACAAAATAAAAAGTATATTTGTTTAAAAAATCTACACAAATTTATATAGTTGAATGTTAAAAAATTGAAACTTTTAAGTATTAAACCATGTATAAATAATTAAGAAAGCAACTTAATTAGAAATAAAGTTTACAATATTGACGTAGTTTATTTATATTTACTAATGCTATTTTTTATTGCTAAATCAAATGTTTGTTTATTTTTTTATTAACTTTAGGAGTTATAGTTTTTGGATCAGACCAAGAGGTAGTGAGTTTAATGAAAGCAGTAAGGAGAAATAATGCTACTGGAAATTTTTCATGGATCGGATCAGATGGATGGAGTGCAAGAGATATGGTATCTGCTACAAATGAAGCTGAAGTAGAAGGATGTTTATCCGTTCAACCTCAAGCTAATCCTGTCATTGGATTCGAAGAGTACTTTTTAGGACTCACTGTAGAAAATAACAAAAGAAATCCCTGGTTTACTGGTATGTATTACGATTAACTATAATTCATAATTATTTTATAGTATTTTAACTTAGATTAAAGTCTTTGTAATTGTATTTTTGATATCATGAAGGGTTAATAATATTATATATTTCCGAATAAAACAAAGTTTTATTAGATTAAACTTATTTTAATTTGAAAATACTTTGTTATATGTTTAAACATAAACACTGAACATTTCGAAGCTAGTTAAATTACTTAACATTCTTGAATTTAAAAATGATTGTATTCTATAAAATCCTCTTCACATAAAATATAATAATTATACGATACATAGGTAAAAGAAAAAAAACTATTTTTTCACATTTTGTCACATTCTTTATATAAAGTATTTATAAGTAATGTAAATAACATATTATCAAATGCTTTACGTTAATTTTATGTTCTTCTTTATTTGTTCATAATTTACGTGTGATCCACCTCAGGGCTCATTTTTAAAGATACTTAGAGTACTAGAGTGCACTTAACAAAATAGCATGATGCGTTTTTATTGTTGTTCATTGCTATTTAAATAATTTACATGATTCTTTGTATGAGAAAATGTAATATAAATTATTATTTCAATTATCTGTACAGAAATTGATGTATTGGTTATCATAAAAAATTCTTAAGACTGACATCTCCAATCATAATCACAAAATATAGAATAAATATATGACGTCCTAGTAAATATATTAATTGGTGTTCACATTTAAAAATAAAATATAAGATAATTCCGTCAAAGAGATTTTGGTCCTTGAGACGTCTTTTTCATAAAAACTATTTTATACGATATTTCTGTGAAAATAAAATTCGTCATCATTTTTCGTTAAATATTTTACTTGTTTTCTTGGAAAATAATTCTATGAACTAGACCTACTAAAAGTTTTGTTAATTTCATTTTACTCGATAAGATTATTGTTATTTTTATTTATAATATTAGATTAAGAGTGGAGCAATAAATAAATTGGTTTTAAAATGACGCGTGAATAGTTTTTTTTTTCTATCATCAACTTACGAATCTGGAAAATTGGTAAAAAATTCAATATTGTTGACGTTTTATAGTAAAAAGTTGATTTAGTTGATTTCTCGAGAATTCATAAGTAGAAAAGTCGTGTTATTTTCTTATTAATTAAAAAAAAAAACTAAGAAAAAAAAACAAAGAAAATCGAGAAATTCAGTATTCACGGAAATCATTTTTTTTCAAATGTATCAATTTAAGGTTTTTTTTGTTTTGATTAAGTAAGCAATAACAAGCAATAACTTTGAAAAAATTTAAAAAAATATATTTTTATTATAATCTTATAGATATAATAATATGATTTCAAAATGTTTTGGATCTTTTATTAGTGACTTAAAGGTATTTTTAATTTCAGAACCAACGTTATGTGTTAAAACAAATTTTTGAAGAATATGTAATTTAACATTTTTCAAAAGTTGTTATGAAATAATTAATCAATAAAAATATTGAAAATACTTTTACACAATATTTTAAAGACATTTTATGTTTAAACAAATCTTGATGAAATTGAATATTATATTTAATAACCATTTACCCATATTTTTGAAAAAAAGTTGAAATTTGTTTAAAAATGAATCGAAATGGAATAACTTTTCATTTAACAACTATTCTTTAGTTATTTTGTCATTGTACTGAATAGTATTGTTTAATATTTCTCAATAACTATGATAAATTATATTTATAATTTCTTATATATCAAGATAAAATAATATTAAATTAAAATTTTTAACTTACTAAAATAAAATTTTTTTATTTGGTAAATGAACTATAAATACATTCAAAAATATCAAAGTATAATATTAAAAGAGGAAAAAATCTTTGAAAAATGCAACGAGTGCTCATTTATTTAAATAAATAAATTTGTTTGGTAACCTTTTACAAATATTTAAAACGTCAAACTATTTTTTGCTTAAAATAAATCTCTACAGCTATGTAAATATCTAAAATGTATTCTTATTTTAAGCTATTTTACATTAATACCTAGTTATTTATTATAAACATTTTTATTTGCATCAATGTATTGATATTTTTACTTTAAGAATTTTATGATTAATATTATTAAATATTTATATTCAAATCGTTTTCCATCCATACTTAATATGTCATAAAAATATAAACCATAAGTCCGTCATGTATATTCAATTCACTAATTTAACTTGAATGGTATTTAGCCTACTTCTGTCATTTATACATAATATATAATTTATGTTAATGAAATTTGATACTTAAATATATATGATATAATCGTAATTTACGTTAGTATTTATTATTAAATTAATCTATACTATGTCATTAGCATAACCCTGCAATTTTATTGAAAAAACCTTGTTAATGAAACATGAGAATTAAAGTAGCAATAAAACTAGTTTTTGTCTATACCGTAGGTCATACATAATGTTTTTGGGTTTTTCTTATATGATTTAAGAACAATCACATATTTATTATGTGCCAACTGAAAACCTATATATTGCGTTTTGTGAATTTAGGATCATTAGAAGTACATATGGTATCTAATTTTAATTTATAATTGTTTTTTTAAATACTTATTTAAGTGAAAAATTAATTCCTTCAAGAAGATTTTTGTATTGTATTTAGTTATAAAATAAGAATTATATAGTTATCATAAGTACTGTTCAAAAAATTTTTTAACTCTACACACTGACAAGATTATTCTTGAAGTTTTTTCAAAAAATCCTTGAAAACCTTGTATAATAATATATTATATAGTCGGGTTCTAAGAATGTGGACACACTCGATATGTTCTATAGTAGAAGATTTTTAGTCAAAATGAATCTTTCTCTTTTCAATCAATATAATGTTTCTATTACTCTGTTTTAATTAGTTTTTGCCAATAAACTAATTTTATCACCTATTAAGGATTAAAAAAAAAAATAAACAAATTATTATAAGAAGCATACAAAATAATTATGTTTTATTTGTTTTGTTTTTTTTGTTTTTTTTTTTTTTTTTATGGTATAAAGTCTCCCCCCCCCCAGGGTTGTCTAGAGTTTGACACTTTCCCCATTAAATAAATATATTTTACCATGTTTTTACATTTTATAAATATTGAAAGGGAGTTTTATAGATTTGTTAAGCTTACAGATAGAGCAAATTAGCATAAATAAGCACCAATAACCTAACACAAGAATATTATATGCTGCAGTACGTTATTACACTAAACAAAATTCTACAAAATTAATTAATAAATAACTGACAATATCAATAACCTGCAGTAAAACATTGTGTATTTTTATACAGATATAAAATTGTACAAAGATGATAAATGCTTGATTCTACAACAATTTATATCACTTTCAAGTAGATTGATAATATAAGTTAATAATAAAAAATCCAATTTTACACTGGTGACCAAAATAGTGTAGTGGTCAAAAATTGGTATAATGGAATAACCGAAACGTCACACCGGCTGAAAAGGGAAAGGTTCATTTTGACAGGAATAGGTCCCACCCATAACTATGATTCTCATCAGTTCGTTCGCAAGAACGTATAAAAAAATAGTACCCTGTATAGCGTGCATCCTATACGTATAAATAGTATAATATTTATCAAGATTTGGATAAGATAGGCCTGAAAGGCGTATAAAATTCGATAATATCCGAATGGCACTATAAATAATCGCCCACGATGGCATTTATATACCAGTCGTTTCGATAGATTAAAAACGTTCATACACGCCACGATTGCTACTAGGATCTACTGTAAAAGGAGATGAAGAATTTTCGGGGTCGCACGTGTTATACTCGCACACTGAAGTAGTAGTAGATATGACCAGTCGCGTCGGTCTCTCGTAACGGCCGTATAATAACAGTTCGTATATATGTAGGCGGTATTATTTATTTATTTATTTTCTGCCACCCTCGAACACTAGCATAAATCGAATATCTCAGTTTTTCCGGAAGAGGGGAAATAAAGTTCGATGAAAGCTAAACAACAAAAACCACATCAAGAAAAAAAACAATTTTCAAACGATCTTAAAACTGACTACGCCGCTAAAAATATCACTGCCAATATAATACCGCCAAAACAACTAAATTTGAATTCGATAATTGTACGTTTTTTGTCAATGCCATTTCAAATTAAAGAATAATATGCCATTTTTCTGCAGGCTGAGAGAGAGTGATTGAGGATGCGTCACTATATTATTACACTAATAATTTGCGTGGTCAATTTAGTAGAGTAGACCACAGAACGAGTAAAGTAAAACTTTTCAGTCACGAGAGACATATATACTATTATAATGCACAACACTTGAACCAAGTAATCTATCATCGTGTATGACATGCACATTATAGGTGGGTCTTTTCTTTGACGTAAAACGACAACATTTGTCAAAAAATATACAAGGTTTTCTGTACGCAAATGAAACGATTTTAGACTAAAGTTATTGTATTATGTTGATTTTTTTCATCATTACACTAACGGAAATTATTAAACACAACATAGATAATAGAAAGTTATACTTACTACCATATATTCTATGTTTTTCCATAAATATTTTCTTCATATAGATCGAATCACCGCAATAGTATAATTATTTAATTATTATTAGAGCTCAGAAGTTGTAGGAATTGTATATTGTTCTTTATGCTCTCCTCTCAGACCAAGCAAGAAATCTGAATTTTATAATGGGAAGTTAGAAAAATTGAAAATTGAAAATGCATATTTTGTTAATTTTAGCCAAAGAAAAAAAATGCGCATTTCATATTTTTGTAAAAAAATTGATTTTTTTTCTTTCTTAACTTGTATATTTCAATAAATATTGAATATAAAATTCAAAATTATCAATGCAGGTATTTATCGTGATTTAAAAAATACAAAAAAAATATTTTTAATAATATTTTCAGCTTAATTAGATGTCAAAATGCCAACCAGTTATAACTTTTTTTTCAGTTATAAACAGTTTTTATGTATATTATTATTTTATTAATTTATTAACAACATTTGATGTAATTTTTTTTTTTTGCATACTTAACATCATTTTTGATGCATATTTTGTAATTTTTTCGTACATATTGCATTCATATTTTGCTTTTTTAGCTCCTACAACTTTCGAACCTTAATCATTATAAAATACATGTTTATATATATAATTGAAATATTAAAAATGTATTCTTATAATTAGCTACACAACCTTTTTTTTTTTTAAATATATTTGTATTTTTTATTATTTGTTAAATATATTATAATTGCTTTCACAAGAATATTATATGGCGATCACATAAAGAAAAAAAATTACCGTAATATATTATACAAATTAAATCAAAATTTATTTCAATTTACGAGAAAAAATCATGGTTTTGAAAAATATGATATAAATATATACCTATGTATGTGACTATCACAATACAAGATAAATCATAAACTGATTCACAAAAAATCAAATTTAAACCTCAACATTAGATGTGCACATCAACCGACGTTTTTTACCAACTTAAAGCTGCTATCTTCATTGGTTATAAGATGAAAAATAAAATATTTTATAATATTTAAAGGAAATGGTATTTTTGGTATACAGTATACTAGTAATTACCGCAGTATTTAGTAATAATAATTTGAAAATATATGGTACTTATACATTATTCGATAATTAGGTAGGTACTGAAAATTTTCATATACTCGTATCTATTATCGGCACCCTTTATAATATAAGTTTAGCATTTTTTGATTTCCAACCTTCGCAGCAAAAAAAAACTTGTTTAAAGAATTGTCAGATAAATATTATCAACATGTTGGTACTAATATAACTGTCCATTGTTGATACCTAGTAAAATACTGAAACTTTAGAATAACATTCATATTATATAACATCATGAAAATATTTGAAACATCATACTAAAAATAAAAGTTTCAAACAACAATAAATTATTTTTATCTTCAGAATATTGTATGAATCCTAACAAGTCTTCTTCGTAACTATTTATAGTATTAATAAAAAATATTGTAATATAAAAATTAAAGTTATTAAGAAAATGGAATATTGATAAAAAAAATACTGCAAGAAAAAAAATATAAAATTTACGATACACGTGCCTTTGTCGTAATGTGATTTTGTCATAATAATATTATAGACTACTGGGAAAAAATAATTAAATTTATTAGGAAACACATTCAAAGTGTGTAAATAAATTGTCATCCTAAATGTAGCAATATTATATCGATTGATACATTTTCAGCCATTTCGCCTCTATTTTATTGCGGTAATAATAAAAGATTGGAGATTTTCAATCATACACACTGGTTTAGCAACATGTATTTCAAGTCGACACGCCATTATGTTTAAATTATTATGCGATGCTTGTGGTTGTATATTTGTAAAGAAATAGTTATTATTTATTGAAATAAAAAAGGCAACATTTGGTAGGAAAACTGGAATAAATATACATTGATTAAACTTGGTCAATGATATACTGTATAAGAGAGAGGTTTGATAAAATAAATTATATAATACTGTCATTATATAACTCTGTGCGTGTGACTTGTGATGAGAACTATTGTGAACGGACGAGAAGAAACAGCCGCAGCATGGCGCCACCGATAATGATCGACAAAGCAGACTGTGATCAATAGCCCGTGTACAATATATAATAGTATAATAATATTCTCCTAGACGCAAATAGCTCAAATATTTTGAGATTACTGAAATCTCCTCTCCTATAATATTTTCTAAAAATAACAAATGTTTAGTTTTAACTTTTGAATTGGAAAACCTTGCCAGTAATTTAGAGGAGACTACCCAACTCCCAATTCACACTAATAGTAATACTCGCATCATCGATCATCGCTTTAATGTTTATCGGACTAGTATTACTTATTGCTTATTTCTTTAATAATAAAAATATGGATACATTTGAGCAATTTATCATTTCGAGCATAAATGTTTCTAAAACGAGTTTTTATATATAAAACAGGTGACCATAATTTTATAGATTTGTTAAGTGTTGATCTATATTTTTTAATAAATATCTCATAATTTTACTAATTGTATGTTGTTTAAGGTTAACTAAACATGTTTAGTTTTACCAGTAATACGAACCGATGTGAAACATTGATTTTTGCTTTGTGCATCATTTAATTTACTATACGTTGTTTATACATTATAATTATGTTATTGAAGTACAATACACACCTTTATATATCAAACAAAATATAAACTATAATAATATAATTATATGCATTTTATTCCTTAAATTAATTTTATTATTACTCAAAATATGTATATTTATATATATATGTATAATGTATATACTTGGGATTAGTTTTTGAAATTAAAATTGTAATTTAACAATAAAGAAAACTTAGATTAAGCTTATTATTATTTTCATTTAATTTGATGTAAAATATGTGTATTGTATTGTAAATATATGATTTGTTTTATTTGTTATTTAAATTTGAATCGATAAAATATAAATTAAATTAGTACATTTTTCTTTGTTATATCGTGATATTATTCTAATTATTACACATTTATTTAACATTATTTCACAAAAAAATAATGACAAAAATATGATTTTTTTTTTTTCAGAATTTTGGGAAGAACACTTTCAGTGTCGTTATCCAAGAAGTATGGGAACACCGTACAACTCTAATTATTCAAATGAATGTGATTCTAAGTTTCATCTTAGAGAAAAAATACCAAAGTTTGAAAATCAATTACAATTTGTCAGTGATTCTGTACTAGCATTTGCACATGCATTGTACAATATGCACTTTGATCATTGTGGTCCGAATTTTGTTGGTTTATGTGATGCTATGAAACCTGTTAAAGGACCTGAACTCTTAATGTACCTCAGAAAAGTAAACTTCACAGGTAAGTCATTTGATTTAACTAATTAAATATATGTTTCTTAAAGTACATATGACACTAGTAAAGAATAAAAAATTATTGTGACAATAAAATATGTTTAGTATTCTTCATAAGTAATTTTAAGTTTTATAACCTTTTTAATTTAAACAAATAATATATTAAGTTTTATTATGTTGTTATTGTAGTGAAATGCTAGGCTTTACTAAAATATTCCAATAAAATAGTTTGAAATCTTTCAAAATTTTATTTCATATTCCTAGTTAAGACATTTAATTTAAGAATCTTAATTTATATTAAAGGGTAGACTCAGATTTATGTAAAAATTAAATATTAATTTACATAACTTCATCAGATAAAGGTATATAAAATTTTGTATAATCTTAATTTTGAAAATGTTTGAACAAATATTTATATAACTTGAAATTATTTTTGTTTTTCAATTTATTAATTTTTTTTAATTTTTGTTACATTTTTTATATGACATAATTGTTTACATAACTCAACTGACATTTTCTAATATAAGTTAGACTTACAAATAGTATTAAATATTATTTATATGTATAATTTTTGCTGTATATATATATACATTGTAATGAGTTAAAATGAGTTGAGTAGATAAATGATGACAAAAAGCGTAAATAATATAATGATTTGAAGAATATAAAATCTTTAAGCTTTAAGTTAGAATATTTAATATATTTGTACGATATTCAATTATATAATTATTTGTTTCAACATATTTAGCTCATTACATGAAATTACCTACTTGACGTGGTATTTTGTCGGGGGTGAGTACAAGAGTTTTTCCTTAAGAATATAATATATTTCCGGATAATAAGTATCACTTACCTTTTTGCGGAGTCCGTAAATCTTTACCGATGTTGATTAGATTTTGACCAGGAAGTGAAAAGGTAGAGAAGATATACCAAAATTCGTCAACAATATTGTGATTAATTTAATTTATTTTTATTTTTGAAAGAACATGAGAAAAAAGAGTATAATAACAGTGTAAGCTATGGAATGAGCGACTGAGCGCCGTTGTGTGTGTGGTGTATGCTTAAATAGATGATGATTGTGAAATGCCGCCTTTGAGTAAAATCAAACAGTGATTGCGGCATTTCCCAATCATCGGAGTGAAACGCTAAGTGCTTAATGTTATAATAATTATAATTATTATGGTCTATGTATTAAATTAGTTTACTTAAATCTAAATGTATTTATTTTAATGATATATTATAATGTGTATATCATTACAATATATATAAATTAATAAATATTAGTATTACATTATAAAAATAAAACATATCTATTATCTGCTCAAAATCAAAAACTCCTCCCACTTTGCAAAAATCTTCTAATTTAGCTTTTTACGACGATTTTTTTATTAGAGAAGCTAAAAAATGAGCCGCGATATGATAATATAAAAATGTCTACTACTAACATCAAAACTATCACTATTCCTTTATTAATAATTTACATAATAATCACTCTCTGGAAACTCTCATAGGAGATTTAAAAATAGATAATGTCCTGGTTTTATGATTAAATTCTACCTCGTTATCAAATCGAGTGTAACTAAAGTTAGTTCCTCTTTAATCGTATAGCTTTCTAGATCATTTTGTATTCTTTTATTCAACTCAAAAATACTCATTGTATTATTCTTATAGTTTATATGAATATATAAAATTAAAATTAAACAATATAAAATCATTTATCTATTGTTAGATAGTAACACAACAAAAGCAACTCATTACTGTAATGACGTTATTTTGTTTGAAATGCGTTATGTAATTTTGCTGAGAATGTTTTCTAAGTAACAAAAATATAATTAAAGTTCTCTCTGCTAAGAAGTTCCTTAGTGCCCAAACCGAATTAGCCAACTGACTCAATAACCTCTTTTCGACTTATAAGTTTCCTCCTGTTTTTTGCTAAAATTCTGGAGAAACTTATACTAAAACGTATTCTTCCATAAAAAAATCCATTCTTTTTGATTCTCAATTTAGATTTCGCACTTCTCACTCTAATGTTTAATAAATTCACAGAGTTGTTACTCAATGAAAAAAAAAATTCTACTGTACAAACACATTTCTGTATATCGCTCAAGCCTTTGATACGATATAGTATAACAGAATCCTTTATAAATTAAAAGAGTTTTTTCATCTTACATGTTTCACTATTATTAAGTTGTATCTTTCAGATCGCCACTTTCAAGTTCATGTTGGTGATGATTTTTCTTCCATAGCTAATATAACTGCTGGTGTCCCGCAAGGAGGTATCTTCTCCCCTATTCTTTACAATATTTTTACCTCAGATCAACCAACCACACCTGATACATTGATTGCTGACTATACAGATGATAAGGAAATTTTATCTATATACTCTGATCCCTTCGTTGCAACTCAACACCTCCAATCTCACCTCAATCTCATGAAAAAGTGGCACACCGACTGGAAATTTAAAATAAATCAATCCAAATTTCTACATTTGACGTTCACTCTTAGATTCGCCCCATGCTCTGATGTTTTTATTTATAACACTTTAATTCCCAGTGTTTCGAATGTTAAATATCTTAGCTTGACCTTTGATAAAAGTCTGACCTGGGCCCAGCATATTAAGTCTAAAAGAAAAAAAATTAAACCTTCGTCTTCGCCTTTTTAAAAACCTCATCAACAATAATAAATATACTTAAATCAATACTAAACTTCTTATTTATAAATCACTACTAAAACCTACTTAGACATATGGCCTTCAGCTCTGGGGAAACGTAAAAAAAAACTAACATTAACAAAATCCAATCATTTCAAAACATTGCACTTCACAAATTATTAAATGCCCCTTTTTATGTCTTTAACTACACTATACATACAGACTTTAAAATGTCTTTAGTTTTAGTTTACAAAAAATCTAAGGCATATTATAAACATTTCCATACCCGCACTTAATTTAAACTCAATTCATCAAAAATCATGCCAATCCTACAATCCCTAGAAACCTCCTGAGACGGTTAAAATGCAAATAGTAACGTGACAAGATACAAAAATTAAATATTAATTAAATAAATTTAAAAAAAAAAAATTAATGAAAATATGTAGAAAAAATAATTAAAATAACAAACTGAAAGTGTTGCTAATGAGTGGCTTTCCTCAAAAATGTGACGTATTATGTATACATTTTATTAAGAATATAATGTATTTTTTCTAAAATGTGTGTATAATTAATCTGTATCATATATACTTATTGTGCCCAAGTGGTATATATTATAGATTGCATTTGAAAAAATAAAATAAATTCCTAAAATGTAATATTAAATATGTAGGTTAGCGTTTCGAAAATTGATGAATAATAATAAAAAAAAAAAATTAATTATAAGTAACATACATATTTACTTAAAAAAATGATAAGAATAATACGCTATTATCGACTTTTTAAGTAACTAAAATAATATTCAAAGAAAAAAACAAAATTTATGCATTAATAATTTGGTAAAAAATTATTAATTATGATTATAAGTTATATAGGTTTCAAATTCCATTATAAATTATTGTTCTAAACCTAAATTTGATCATTATTAAACCAAGGTGTGAAATTTTAAATAGTTATATTGTATATAATAAGTTATTATTAATAACCATTTTCTATTCTTAGCAACCAGAATAAATAATACTATAAATATACAAAAAATAATAATAACTCTTAGATTTATTACACAATTAATCATGTATAAAATGAAAGAAAAATAATTATTAAATAATTTTGTTTGACTCAAAATCGACTGCATTCTTTATAGATAGCAAAACGTTACAAAATAAATGCCTATTCCAAATTTTTAATTTATTACTGTGAATTTGTCTATTTGAATTTAACTCAATACAATTTGATGTAATTCGGAGAATACTAGTTTAGTAAAAGCTTAGATTGCTTATTATCCCAATGAAATTGAAAATAAAATAACTTGGGTTTACTGAAACGTTTTAACTTATCAATATTCGATCGTTTACTGATATATGTTCAAACTTAAGATAGAAAATTCAACGAATGTTTAAACTTTGATTAAATAATTGTACTATAATGAAAAAAAATAAAAATAATATTTGACATGAACTTTTTCACTTCATATTTAAAAAAAGGGAAGTTTTTATAATCAAATGTTGTTATTGGTCCATGTAAATTAAAATATAAAAATAAGTGCATTTATAATTTTGACCAAAAATAAAATTTCAAAAAAACCATGTTACCTTATATACTTGTATTAGGATACTTCAAACAATTTAACAACTCAAGACAACGAAAAATTGAGTATACGATAGTTTTTTATACTTGTATTTATGATTTTAATGAACGAATTAAATCATATTAAAATGTTTTATGTAACTTCATTGAAAGCCCAATTTATTTCAGTATGAAAGATTATTAGTTTATTTGTTTTTATTATTTATTATTTATATAGTTTATTAAAATTTAGAATAAATAATAATACGAATTTACATCTTAAACTTATTTTATTGTATAAAAAATACCTATACCAAAATTATATTTTGTGTAAGATAACTATTGAAAATATGGTAAAATAAATTAATTCGATATTTTTAATTACGTGAAGAATAACAAGAATTGCCCATTAGTGTGGACATGCATTAATAAATATTAGATGTGTAAATAATGAGAGGAATACAACTTAAAAATCATATTTAAAAAACTAATTATTATATTGCCTTTTTTTACCGTGGTTTATTATATTATATATATATATATATATTTTTTTTTTTGGTTTTGATAAAAAAAAAAAAAAAAATGCACAATTAAAATACGATAATCTATTGTAATTGTTGAGATAAAAAATACTAATTATTTTAAAATTACATTAATAATTTTGGACCTTAATTATATTATGAATGTTACTAAATATATAAATTCGTTAATCTTTATAGCCTAAAGGCTAAAAGTATACATTTATACCTTAAATTGTTTAATATCTATATGTAATTATTAATGTATTTCTTTTA